TTTTTTGCGGTGTTTCGACCCAAACGAAACCGAATTTATTATTTTTCCCGTCGGATTCCGAGTGTCTGGATCTGGAAGCACATTTAAAGCGGAGCCATAAAAAATTTACAGACTCAATCCGGGTTTTACCCTGGGCCTACTATATATCATTTAATGGACCAGTTATCCCGATATAATTCGGCCTAACGAATGATGTAATTAATTCAATCTTCAAGGATACGTTTAAGTATGCTGGAGGAGCGTCTCAAACTTATTAATATCGCGGGGGAGGGGGGCAGGCGTAACTCGTTTATGTCGTTGAACGGCGTCCAAGTTTGGCTAAACTGCTCGGATGCTTCTTGTAAAGTCATAATTACGAATTTACTGCTTCATCGTTAATGTTATTGCTCGCGATTATTTATTTGTGGCGCCATAAAAATAATTATTATATTTTTATTAGGGTAGACTGTATTAAAATTTATCGAGTCGTGTCAGTTATTTATCAGGAAGGGTTAACAACACGTCACGAGTGTTGTTCGCGTTATTCGCATTTTAATGTATTGTCGTCCAGCAGTCCCGCAAGGATCCAAGTTTGGACCAGTTTGTTTCTTTTATTTGCCACTTGTCCAAATTATGTAAGTGACTAGTGAGTTGAGTGACGTTTAGTAAAAACAATGCACATACTTTATCGTAAGGCGTAAAAACTTTGTTTTAACATCCGTCCATTCACATGTACATTTTGAGAACCGCTGTATGCACTGAAGATAATCAAAACTTCAGAATTCGGTAAGCGCGGCTCTAACTTGAGTGACATTTTTTTATGCAAATATCCATTCACTGAAATCGTATTCAAATCTGTAAAGCAGAAGCAAACTGATACTAATGTCAGAATTAAGGAAAAAATGTATTTTTAACTTGACTACAAAAATGCCGCTTTTTTAATTAAGGATTTTTGAAAATGTCATAGAGGAGTTTTTAACACTGTGATTTAAATGTAAAGCGTAATTAAAAAAACTTTTATTTTTGTACATAATAGTATATTACGTAATAAGTGTTGTAAAAAGCATTTTACACACGAATGGAAAAGTTACGCACGACGCCGCGTAGCGGCGAGTGCGTAATTCTATGAGTGCGTAATTGCATTACACCACGTATTACGTACTATACTTTACCTACGACCACTACTTTAAATGCTTGAAAACACACCGTCTGCGATCAATGCAAGATTCCTCTTACATCATACGGTAAAAAAATCGCACAGCTTGGTAAAAATATCGCACAGTTGTGTGCGATTTTTGTACCGTACGTAATAGGAATCTTACATTGATAGCAGACGGTGTGTTTTTAAGTATTTATAGTAGTGGTCGTAGGTAAAATAAATAAAAGTTACAAAGAATCGCACCAAAAACCTATTTATTTTTTTCGAATAATATTTTATTTTCTATCTATCTCCCATTTATTTAAAAGGGAACCATTAATAGTTTGTTTAGTTTGACGGTCGTGATGTCAAATAATATCTTCAAATTATGCTGATCAGATTTTGACGATTACGTGACTATAATAGATCTAGTCATGTCCAAAAGTTTTTGACACTTTCATTTCAAGTAGTTATTTTTGTAGCCCAGTCATTATGGACATGAAAGAGCCTGTTTCGGGAAAAAAATACTATTAGAAGTTTCTCTGCGGAATATTGTTCGGAAACCTGTTATAAATAAAATATCAAAAAATCTATTCGAGGCTAGTTGGGAAACTTTGTTTTAACAGTGGTCAAAGTTATGGAAAAGTGTTTTTTTGACTCACGTAAAAAAGCTATTATTCATTGCGAAAAAAAGTTTATACAAAAAAGGTAGATATAAGCCTATAAAATGAAAAAAGTCCGATTAAATTCCGATAATTTGTTTATGCACAAGAGCTCAAAAATTGTCGAAAATTGCCGTTTTTTCAATTGCTAATAATTAATGCAATTTTCGTCGCAGACACTTGTAATTCAGAATTTTTGAGGCTTTTTACATCCTTAATAAGTGGTAAAAATTTCAGTTCGAAAGCTTCATTGGTTTGACGTTGGCGGAATTTGTTATCTAAGAAGATGCTATTTTTCAATTCATTTTTCCCAAGCTCACAGGCGTTGTAGGGTTTTGATGATTAGTTGTTGTTGTACGTAAATAGTTGTATTGACATAGACATTTACCGAGAATTTAGTTTTTCAAATTTAATTTGTTTAAAAATGACTTTGAAAAAATGTTAATGTTAAAATTAAATTATCAGTAAATGCATATGTCAATACAACTATTTAGGTACAAAAACAACTAATGATCGAAACCCTACAACGCCTGTGAGCTTGGGAAAAATGAATTGAAAATAGCATCTTCTTAGATAACAAATTCCGCCAACGCCAAGCTAATGAAGTTTTTGGGATAAAATTTTTACCACTTATTAAGGGTGCAAAAAGCTTCAAAAATCCTGAATTACAAGTGTCTAATTATTAGCAATTGAAAAAAGCGAACAATTTCGACCATTTTTGAGCTCTTGCGCATAAACAAATTATCGGAATTTAATCGGTCTTGTCTTATTTTACAGATTTATTTAATACCTACCTTTTTTGTATAAACCTTTTTTTCTCTCTGAATAACAGTTTTTTTACGCCAGTCGAAAAACTACTTTTTCATAATTTTGACCATTGTTTTAACAAAGTTTCCCAACTAGTCTCGAGTTGATTTTTTGATATTTTGTTTATAACACGTTTCTGAACAATATTCCGCAGAAAAACTTCTAATAGTATTTTTTTCCCGAAAAAATGCTATAATGATTGGCCTATTGTATCTAGAACGTAAAATAGTACTTTTTCACTAAACTCGGCAACATATCCATTCGAGAACGCAAAAGCTTTTCGCAAACAAAATTCTTTCGAACACTGCAATGAAATAAGACAATTATGTTATACAAGGTGATTCACAAATGGTGAGCAAAAATGAAACCTCGTATTCTTTGGTGAATTTTAAGGGGAGTATTTCCTATAAAGTTTTTATCTAGGACGCTTCCTTAAAAAGATACAGGGTATCAGTGGCATATTTTTGTATATAAAATAGTACACCACTATTTTACGGTAATATTTTCGAATTCGTCTTTTAATTTTCTTCAAATTACTACTCTATGTTTTTCGAAAAAAGCCCGATTTTTGAGTAAAACTTAAAAAACGAACTGAGAACACATTTCGATATTCGAATATAATGCTTTTTAAAATAACGTTGTGGGCTGCGATAGCAATTTTGACATTTTGAGAAGAATAAAAAATGCTTTTCATCAGATTCAAGCAACAAAAAATTTTGAACAAATTACATTTTCGTTACTAAAAAGATGTCGGGCCTGTGTTTGTGGAAATGGAGGTATTTTTGAGCATTTACTCAAATAAAATCATTAAAATGATGACTAATGTTACCTATTAATTTCTTCATTCGAATAAATAACCGAATGGTTAGAGTTTGTAAAAGTGTTTTCAGTTGGTTTTTTTAAGTTTTACTCGAAAATCAGTATTTTTTTCGAAAAATATAAGAGAGTAGGAATTTGTAGAAAATTGAAAGACGAATCCTAAAATATCACGGTTGTTTTCGTAAAGCAGTGGCGTACTATTTTAATTAGAAAAATATGCCACAATTACATAAATATATGTGCTCAATTTAAAATTACTTCAGTTACTAGTTTTTAAATTATTATTTAAAAAAATTAAATTTAATATAACGTAGGTATCTTTTTAACGAAGCTTCTTAGATAAAAACTTTATACGACTGCCACCCACAGAGGACGAGGACAATGTTTTAATTGCCGGTGTTCCGAGAAACAACTACTCCGAGGGCTATGTGCTCCTACCGGCATTGAATTATACTCGCAACACCTAGTGCAACAGCTAGGATCGTTCGTCAGTTTAACCCACCAGGCACAGACCGGTTTCGGACCTATTAGTCTTCATCAGTGTGTCATAGGTGAGACAACCGACGAACGATCCTGCTGTTTTGCGTCGTATCATCACGATAAGAAAATACATTGTACGCGGGAGCGCACATGCCTCCATCTGTCGTGCTGACTCCCAACTGTGCCATTCAATTGGCTACAGAAGGAAGCGACCTGTTATGTTGTAGGTACTTATTGCACGACTGCCACCCACAGAGGGCGAAGACAATGTTTTAATTGCCGGTGTTGCGAGAAACAACTACTCGGCAATTAAAACATTGTCTTCGCTCTCTGTGGGTGGCAGTCGTGCAACAAGTACCTACAACATAACAGGTCGTTTCCTACTGTAGCCAATTGAATGGCACAGCTGGGAGTCAGCACGACAGATAGAGCCATTAGCGCTCCCGCGTACGACTCTTGATGACAGTTTTCGAAAAACACAATTTTTTCTAAAGTTTCACGTTTTTCTATTTTTTCCGAAGTAAAATGTGGAAACAAAGATTTCTTAGTAGCAACTGTTTTTTACATGATTAGCCTTTGTCAAGGGTGATAATAGGATAATAAGAATACAGCATATTTCTTTGAATTATTGCATTTATTCAACAATTTCAATATTTCAACTATGTAATTGGTATTGATTATATTTGAGCATATAATTTTTAGTTTTTATTTTGAATGATACCATTGTTTACTAATGTCGCGGTGTAATTCGATACTAGTTTGTGAATATACTCCCTAGAATAGACGTTTCCCCCAATTTCAGCTGAAATTACGAGTCTTGTGTGTGGGGTTAGATATATTTTACAAACCTAGTATCGAAGAAAATTGAGTCACTTTATTTGATAAGATTTAAAAAAAATTGATTTTGTTTGAATGACGGACAAGACAAGTCAGTCAAAATTTTTTTTTATGTAAACAAGAACAGACCGTGTCTACAATCTTGACACTACCCGAGCCAATGGGGCCCTGTGACTGGTCTGGACTGAAGTGGTCCATCTCTCCTATTGATCCTTTTCTTTAAATAAAAACACAATTCGTATAATTTATTTATTTAAAAATTATTAAAACATATTTATCTTGATAGCAGCCCTCTCATGGTAATTTCAAGTTCCAACTAATACTTTAAAGTTTATCTCTTGCAATAACAAATATAAAATCTGCGCGATATCCTAATTGCAGCCATTAAAAGAACACGATATCCTCGGAGAAAGCCCCTGCGAGCCTGAACTCATTCTTATTCAACACGGCCCTCAAGAACTGGGGGCACCTGGCCGAGTAACTCGCCGGTTTCACCGCTCCGACCCTCATCACGAACTCCCTCTCGCTAGGGGGTGGAAACACGGTGTTAATAGTGCCGCTGCGGCCGTTCTCCCCCGACTGCTCGTTCAGGATGACGCTCGCCACCTTCTGGGCGTCGGAGAACATCGTCACGATCCTATTACCGACGTCCGAGGACGCCTTGTTTTCAATCTCCACCTCCCTTCCTACCACCAGGTTCGCCACTAGACTGCACAGCGCGTCGTCTTGAGACCCTGACGGATTAAATTTGTACTGCAGCGAGTTTACTTGGGAAATTAGCACCTCTAGTGTCGACACCTCTTGAATGAGTGCCTCGAACCGCCTAGGCTGGAACTTTGCGTCTCTAGATAACCTTTCGCCGTGCCTGATGAGACTATTGATCCTCACAGTGGCCTCGCTCAGCTCACAAGCTACCAGCTGGCATTCTTCCACCAGTCTGTAGATGGCGGCATGTGAAAGCACGGGTATTATGAGTTCGCAGATCTGGGAAATCGTTCTGTAGTCAAGGAATTGTAAAATCTTTTCAGCCTCGCGTGTGTCATCGAACAACCTCCTCTGTCTGTTAGCAGGGACTGGCTTAGCGGATTCCCATGTCTGCACCCATATGTTGTTTTCCTCGATCAACATTCTAGGGCTTAGGTGGCCTTTCTTCTGGCCCCAGTCGTCCAGTTCCTCTTCTTCAATCCAGTCTCTAGGCGAGTACCAACGTATGAAATCTTCAACGACCGAACCAGGATTAGCGGCTTTGAAAGATTCCATGTCTGAGAGCAAGGAAGCGCTCATTATCCTCGCTCGAAGCTCAGACGCTTCAGCGTTGGATCCCAGTTTCAGGAGAATATCAGTGTCTTCTTCTAATTGATCCTCAGTTTTCAGTACAGGATCTTGAGTGACTGGAATGTATAAAGCATCTCCGGTATTCAACAACTTTAAGTCTCCAAATTTTGTGAGTCTGCCCACCGGTTGGTTCCAAAGGGAAAGTTTTTCCTTGCGCTTGGAGTCATCTTCGGGTTTTTCAGTGCAATCGAAAAACTCATCGTCTGTGGAGGAATCTTCAGCTGAATCATAGTAAGATTGGTGCAGGTTTTCCCTGGAAAGTTTCCGTTCTATGCAGCAGTTCAGCATCTGCAGCTTCTGATTGAGCAGGCAGGTGCGAAGATCGGGAAAACCTGGGGATAACCTGGAACAAGGAGAAAACTACATTTAATTCAAATATATCTGAATAGTTTTTTTATAATTTCTAGATCAAATACTGAAGAGTTAAAAAAATGGTGACGCTTTACATAGAAATATAGGAACAATAAATTGTATTCACATTTCTAGCAAATTCTTTAGCAATTTCATAAAAAAAAAGTTAATTCAACGAAAGGATACGAATAGCACGTTGCAGCGAAATAACTACCACATCGCGATCGATCTGGTAAATACCATATTGCTTGCGGTTGTGTGCAGAATAAAAATAATGCTCTATTAGCATAAAAAAATTATTAAATTTGTCACACTTTTTATCTTTCCCACAATAGAAGAAATGAGAATACTATCGAGGTAATTGAAAGATTAAAACAACACTACAAATCTATTTTATTTATTTATATAAACACGTTAATTTATTTAGAAGTTATATAAAACTGGATTCAAATTTTAGTTAAGTTTCGAATATATTAAATAGCAGATATGTTTTTCATTGTTTTCCATTGCATTGTGTTTGCACATTCACAGGTTATTGTCGCAACATTTTCTTCCACATTACTACGTTTACTACAATATTACGACCGGTAGTGATACATACTATTAGTGCAACGTGTGTAATAAAGGAAAATATGTAATTATATCCTTTGTTAGTGTGTGAACGTGTTTGTCTGAAGCACAAGTGAGCTATATAAAGCAACCGTATATTAATTGACCATTTGCAATAAAATATTGTTTAAAATTTAGATTTCCTTTGTTCTAATGGGATTCAAGAAACATTAAAGTACCTCCCAGTCCAGATCACTTCTAATGAAAATTTCTATAACATGTGAAAAACGCAATAATGTCTTAAGCGAATCACCCTGTGTTCGGAGGAAATATGGCTAGTTTAAACGCATTTTTCGCTCTAGTTCTTTGGTCGTTTCTTGGAACAAACACGCATCTGACAGGAATAGCGTTATTTTATAATGAACAGATCAGTGATAGGAAGTATCGATTTTTTTATATTTCCAATTGAGCTGTTCTTTGCGTGCGGGAATACTGTTTATAACTCATATAAGGATATAAAAATGAGGCTGAATATACCTATACTGCTTTCGTACTCGTCTAAGGGAAGGATCATTACAAATTTAGAAATTCTAATACCGTGGATGAATAGAGATTTGGGAAGGTAAATTGGAAAAACCCAAATGGGAATTCCCAATCCAGTAAAATGACCCCCTAAGTTCGAATTAAAGGGGACTTTGAGGAATAAGGTAGACACATGGGCTTTTATACCTGACGCAAAACGTATAGGTACGCTTCTTTTGAGCAACTGACTGTTATTGGCATCTTCCAAATTATGAAAAAAGTTTCTTGAAAAATAAGTTAATTAATTTTTTTAAGCTCTACAACTTTTCAATAAAACAAAATAGGGAAGTTTGATCTAAATTGGGTTATTTAAGGAAGAAGAATAATAGTTGCATCTGGTTCATTGTCCAGTAAAAAGTATCAATCAAGACAGTGTAAACAGAGTAGGTAAATATTCAAAATGTCCAGAAAAATTTGTCGTAGGAAAAAAGCGATTATTTTCCCAGACTGTTCCAATATAAATAATAGATTTTATAAAAAATGGCCTTTCACTCAGACCAAACTTACTGATTTTCATGAATTTTGGGGTGCTGAACTCGAATCCGAAGTCGGAATTGCTTTATCACCCACCAATTTTGAGAAAATCACCCCTAAATTGTGCTAGTTTCTATAAAGGGTAGTCCCGAAGTAATGGGCAAAAATTNGTGGTCGCGACGTAATGGGCCAAAATTCATGGGTAGATTCCCCAAGTAAAAATATTGCGATTTAGCCGAACTTACCTTAGTCCAAAAGTTGATAGTTAAAGAGATACAGGGTGTTAAATGTAAAATATTATTTTAGTTTATTTCCATTTATTTCTTAATAAATGCAAATATCTACACAAAATTTTGGGGTTTGGGGTTCTTTGGGTAGAGGAATTGAAATTTGTTCACATTTTGGTTAAAGTTCATAGAGGGTGCCAGCTGCCGTAGATTGAAGGTGTTGGAAACGACACAACTTTTTTGTATTTTAAGGTATCTCATCTTTGGTATCAAATTCTTATTTTCCAACTTTTTTTACACAAAAAAGGTAGAATGAAAGTAGCTATCCCACACCGTTTCCGAGATATTTGGCTTTGAAACTTCCAATGCTAATAGTTGAAATAATTAAAATAATTTAGAAATGTCAAAAACAAGTGTTTATTTAAAATTAAAAATTGTAATGAACAGTAAAATAGTAAACATTAGTAAAAAATATGCCTTTTTGACAATAATTGCTCAAAATGCCCACCTCTAATTTCAATACATTTATCAATGCGTTTATTAAAAAAATGTCTTATTTTAAAGTATAAATCCTTAACGTGAAATGACTTTGCAGCATTTAAAACCTGCTGATAAAGTTCTTCTCAGGTGTTTATAGTTTCTCCATAGACAACTGATTCCATGTAACTCCAAAAACGAAAATCTCGGCTTTCTATCTCACATTTATGTATACGAGTATACAATTTAAATTGTAAGATGTAATTTTAATTAGGTACGAATAATACTTAATAGAAATTAGCATACAAATGACAGCAATAAGACAAGTGGAAGACGTCAATTATTTGATTTTCCAAAATCCTACTTAAGAAACTTTGCCGCTAAATTAATACCTGTATAGGTACTTAATTGTAATTTAATGGAAGCTTCAAAGCCAAATATCTCGAAAACGGTGCGAGATAGCTAGTTTAGTAAAGTATACAATTTCTGTGTAAAAAAAGTTAGAAAATAAGAATTTGATACCTTAAAGTACAAAAAAGTTATGTCGTTTTTAACACATTCAATCTACTGCAGCTAGCGCCCTCTATGAACATTAACCAAAATTTGAACAGGTTTCAATTCCTCTACCTAAAGAACTCCAAACCCCAAAATGTTGTGAGGATATTTGCATTTGTTAAGGAATAAATGAAAAAAAAAACTAAAATAATATTTTACATTTAACACCCTGTATCCCTTTAACTACTAGGGTTTCTGGTCGAGACGTCTCGAAGCGAGAATTCCCGGGAAATCTGGCCTTACTCGAGACGAGAAAAAAGTGTCGAGAAATCGAGAAATCAGCTCTTTGAGTCAACTGGTAAAAGATTGCCAAATCGTAAACATTTATATAAAGCTTTAATGACGATAAAGTCAACATCGACAGAAAATGAACTGGTTTTCCCATTATCTTGAAACGGATTGTTAGATAATGCTATTAATGCGTTTGTATTTTTAAAAGCACATTTCATTAAAAATACTTAGAGACAAATAGCTGAGCGGTTGAAGTGACTTCTCACTAGCTCGTTATTTATTTATTTTAAGTTTATAAGGCTAATAAGCTAGTCTACTTTAATGATTCTCATTTTTTTATGTACAAAAACTGTATTGAAATTTTATTAGCAGATACCTAATGTTGATTCTGAAAATTAGTTTAGTTCCTGTTCGTTTAGTTTAGATTACATATTTTATTTTTGTTTTGTTAATTAAAAGATTGTGATTATAAGTAATAATAATTAATACGAAGAACGCTTCTGTATCTTTAAATTAAAGTTTGTTTTTTAAAGATTTCTTCGGTTAGAAAGTTAGATTCCTTATCTATTATTTGTTTAATTAAATGACTGTGTGTGTGAATGATTATTATTAATTATTGGAAGGATGCTAATATTCAAAAACATTTAAAAGTTTTCAAGAAGATACTCAAAGTTTAATTTGGTTTTGTTAGTAGAAGTAGAAACATTTGGAAGTAATTAACAAAAAAGACTGAATAAGTAGATAATAAATGTTGATTGTTAAGAGTATTAGCGTGTTTTTATTTCACACTGCAATACAAAAATGATGACTTTTTTTAAGTTTTACAAATTTCTCGAAAATTCGGGAATCCCCGGGAATTCCTAGTCGAGAATTCTCGAATCCCGAGAAAAAAAATAAGCCGAGAAATCAGAAACCCTATTAACTACCAACTTTTGCACTAAGGTAAATTCGGCTATTTCACAATATTTTTGCTTGAGGAATCTACTCATGAATTTTGGCCCATTACCTCTGGACCACCCTGTATATGTGATGTTAATGGGGTCTAATCGTGGATTTAAGGATGGTTTTATGAAAGCTTGGGTCGATGGAATAATTACGTCTATGGAATTGAATTCAGCCCTCAAAATACTTAAGGATATAGTTTCCTAATCGCCTCTAATTGAGGATGGACAACAGATAAGATTCCTTAAAAATTGACCCACATGAAAACAATTTGGCTTATGTGGTTTGCCAGGGACGGACTAACTGTAGCACAATGTCAATTTTTTTACACCCTTTACGATACAGGCACAAAAATAATATTTTTAGATAGCTTGAACCTTAAACAAAAAAGACACCCATGGATGAAATCGATAAAATGAACTGTTTTCGAGAGAATAAACTGTTTTTGTTTAATATGATTTTTATTACATCCGTAAAGAGAAATAAATTGCATTTTTTCTGTGCCTATCTAAAAAATGCCTCTTTTATTTACATTTGTTATTATTAGTAGTATAATTAGTTATTAAAAAAAAAATTGATTTTCAGGTGCGTCCTTTAGATTTTTGACTAACTTTCGAAAGAAAATACGGATCGACAAGAATCACAGCGACTCGATGGCGAATTTCAGGCGCGGACAACCTGCAGCGAAGAAATCGACCGCTGAAGACATTCCTCGCTGAAGGATCGGGCGCCAGCGAGTGCCCCGGGCAGGTGTGCGTCCGCACTGGCATGCCACGGCCTCCACGGCACCTCTCTAACTCTAAGAGCCAGTTGGCTGCAAGAAGTGGTCGGCGAGCGATCGCAAAAATCGTCGCGGCTTTAACTGCACAAGTCCATTCTAGCGGTCTGTGACTAAGTTCGATTCTATTTTGGTAAAATTGGATTTCGTTTGTTGCTCTGTGGTGTTTGTGGTGAC